ACCTGTGATTTACATTTGATGACGAAATACACACAAATTTGTTTCTTTCTCTTTTTAAACTGTGTAAAGGAACATTTCCAGACACTGAAGACACTGCTGTCTCTTCTGAATTTTTTTTACGTATTTAGTGCCAATTGCAGGTGTGAGTGCATTCAATTCCCCCAAATCGATAATACAACATGTTTGGAAGGCGGGGCAGACTATACTCTGATTTTTACTGCTGAATAACCAGGTCACACAAAGAGCCAAACAAAACCCAGAATTACCCTGACATTAGGTCATCACTGAAATAAATTTTAGAGCTAAAATTTAAAAGATAAGAACTAAGTTAACATAATTTCAAGTCAAATGTAAAATGTTTCATTGGTTCAAATTAAACTTACATAAAACTTTGGTCCATATCGTTACTTTGGCTGTTACTAGATTGAGGTCTTTGCGGTCCAATTAACAGTCCATTAGATGAAGTGGCAGTCAAAGTCTCTCTGGTATCTGAAGGAAAATAAATAAATAAATGTATGTACATGCAGAGAGAGACGGAGAAAATCGTATTGGCAAAAGTACAGAACCTAGTCCAAACGAAACACTAGACTATCAAGATGGCAGTTCAGTTTACCTGATTCTGGTTGATTTTGTTAAATATGATTTACTGGTTATATAGTAAAATTTCTATTTGATTAAATATAGTATACCTAAAAAAAAGACAAAAGATTGGAGTTCTAAAATTAGATCTTAACCTGCTTTTTCATTCTGCTGCTATTGGGTGTAAACTGTAGGTAATTTTAATTTCATGTGCAGTTATTGCGACTCTATGCCTCTAAGAATTCAAGAGACGGTGCCAGATTGGCCAGAAGCTAAACAAAGTATATTATTTATTTATTATCGACATTTATTAATTTTTTTCAATCCACTGGTCTAATATATATACATATAGACTAGCATTAATATATACATTTTTAAGTTACAATGAGAATATCACAAAGTATGCACAAAGGCAAATACAATCCAGTTTTCTGATTGGTTAATAACTGATTTTACTTTTCAGGCCAATGGAGGTAGTTTTCGGTCAACTCACGCATAGAAAAAACATATCATCTAGTGTTTGTGTGAGCCAACAATGAAACCAATAAATTTGTTCTATCTCATTATAATCATGACAACAGAAAAATAATTATCATGCAAATTAGGTAATTAATATGCATGGTTCTACCAAAACCTAATAAAATCTGCGCATTGGCCCAGAGCATATATGCACCAAGTTTCATCAAAAATCAATGTATGGTTCTTGAGATATCAGTGGAACAGACGGACACACACACACACACACACACACACACACACACACACACACACACACACACACATACATACATACAGACATTCTAACTGCAAAGACTCCCATTGTGTGCTTCGCACAACAAGCAAGTTCAATATTTATGTGTGAAATGCAATATGCTCATGTTTGTTATTATTTGAAACTTTCTCCATACTTTTAATTACCAACAAAATTGAAGTAAATGAACAATACTGTAAAATACTTTATTTCAGCTAGAATTAATTTTCTCTGAAAAGGCTATTTGGGTCTTTTGTATGGAATTTATTTTCACTGATTTCTGATGAGTTGAATGTAAAATATAGGAAAAAAGGCATACAGATTTTATTTTCACTGAATCATTCCTTCAGCAAAAATAGCAAAAATTAATTACAAGTGAAAATAAAGTATTCTACAGTACCATGTGGAAATTCTATGTACCAACAATTTTTGTCGTTGGACTGTAAATTTTTCAACTGTTCATGACGCCTATTTAGAATCAAATCAAGGTTTTTTTTTACTAGTACATGATGCCTAATTTAAAATATTTACAATATTTTACTTGGATGAAAAGTAATTAAATTAAATTAAAAATACACCCAACACTTCTCAAACTAATAAATTTCAACTGAAATAAACATACAAGTAAAATGAAATCAAACATTGTTTCAACAATACATGTGATAGCAAAACTACATTGTTGATTGACAATCATGCAGAATGAGAACACAGAATAATGACGCAGCTAGGGAGCAGAATAATTATTTTGGCAAATGTGTCGGTGCATTCTGGTGGCACAGTAATAACCATATTATTTATTATACATGTTTTACACACATGTACTTGTACTGATAATTCATACAAGGTCAACATGAATAACACAGACAATTCCCGAGCTGAAAGTAGTATCAAACTAACATAAAACAATCAAATATATTCATTAATAATTGCTAACAATTGGAATATTGTATTTTATGTCCTTTCCATGATATTTTCATCGGTTGATTTTAAATCTTTACTTGTTTAAGGTTGATAAAACAGGCTGGTAATAGAAGCTATTAATAGCATGGTAACATATGCAATCCCTCCAATAGTAATATTTATTTTTTTATATAAATTTCACTTAAAACATTATTACTAGGACAATAAAATAAATAAATAATTAAGAATTAGCTTCATACAAAATTTTGGAGTGTGGAGAATATTTTGGAAGTGAAAACACAGCAGTTTTAACAATTTAGTTCCTAGCACAAAATTAAATGATTTTGTTTTAAAATTACGTGGAATGAAATGAACATGAAACGACACAATAAATAGACAACTTGCCTTGATTTGTTTGGTTATCAGAGATATTCTCTGGCTGTAATGCTGGCATGGTGGGGTTTGACGAGGTCAGCTGGCTCTCATAGGGCTGTTGCTGACTTAAGCTGCTAGCGAGACTCCCTGATAAGCTGTCGCTGGTCCGGAACAAACTAGATAATCCAAACGGGGAAGAGGAACTTTGGGAAAAGCTGAGATTAGGGGTGTTTGGAAGCGAATCCTGAGGTAACAGATTTGGGGGGAACTGCCCCGATTGATGACTACTACTGAGGTCAGTCATATCAGAGCTCATAGTGTTCAATGAAGTACTAGGCGATGATAGGCTTGATTTTCGGGATTTTTTGGTCGGAGATGGTTGCGAAGATTCTTGAATTAAATCCTTAACAGTTTTTGATGTTTTTGGTCGACCAGGATGTCCTGCTTTGTTTTTTTTCACACGGTGTCTTTTTTTATCGTGTTTGTCAGGTGACTTGACTATTGTAATCGGGGGAACTGTGGGTTCTTTATTTTTAGTTTGCCCATTGGCCAGTTCACCCCCGTGAGTACTTGAGGTATATTTCATCATAAACTCCTCATACGAAGTCTCATATGTTTTTGTTGGCGTCACAACTGTTGCTTCAGCTGGTACAGATTCGGGTGTTTCCATGGCAGCAAGAGGTGGCGTGGATGTAGCGGCCACAGGTGGCAAATCTCTCTGTTCTATGGTTTCCGTGGTAACACTAGGTAATCTCGACGGCGTCGGTTCTCGTGACGGTTCTTTTGAGGATTTGCTCTGCGATTTTGTCTTGGACTTTGTAGAAGAGCCGTCGTCACTTGGCGTGGCTCGATGTTCCAATGCATTAGCATTAATTTCAGATAGACCTAAACTAGGTAAATCAGGCTGACTGATATGGCTCATGGTAGAGCAAGGACTATCAGATCGTCCACTGGTGCTGGCAGTTTCAGAGGACACCAACCCCTTGCTAGATTTACGTCCTCTCTGTCCTGAATGTTTCTTTGATTTCTGCGGAGCCCCAGCAGACTCTGAAGGCATACCTTGCGGAGGCGTGTCATCCAGTGGCTTGTTAGATGTAAATTCAATTTCAGTGAAATTTGCACTAGTGAACTTTGCCGTGGTTTCTTCCATGCTTTTCAAAGAGCTTGTCGAGGAGTATGATGCAGTGTCACCTTCAAGTGAGTCAGTTTTTGTCTTCTCATACTCAGTATGAGTGGTGACAGTACTAGCTTCAGTAGTTGCACTATGCTTTCTTTTTTGCTTATACTTTTCTGGTTTCTTTTCCGCACATTTCTCTTTCTCTGGAGTTGTTGTGTAGTGATGCTTGAAGGCCGGAATTGCCTTTATGATTTCTTTTTCCTTTTTCTACAAAAACAAAACAAAACACAAAATAAAATAACTGATAACATGGCACCAATATAATATTAACCTGATATAATTTCTGTTAATCAAAATTCAAGAAAAATTAAATTTCATAGCAGTGAATTTTTATTTATACCTTTATGACTCATTGCATCTAATCTCCCACTCGCTCCGTTTTATTCACCACTCATTTTCTGCTAGCTTTTATGACTGTGGTTTGTAATCGAGTGGAAAATTTCTGGTTTGTTTCCAAACCTTGCTTGCTTAACCAGTGTTTACACACGACTAAAACATGGTCTGAGGTTTACACTGATTTTCAGTTATGCCTTTTCTGAATTTGAGGAATGGTGAATAACATGCCTGAAGTTCCAGTTTGTTCTTTTTATTATTTCCTAATATTTATATGCACCCAATCTGCCAGACAGACCCCACAAATGTCTGGTTTGCAAAGTACATCAGTGGAAATGCTTGATTTTCCTTTTCTCACTGTTGACTAGTCACGATGTGTTCACAACTTGTATAATAATATTTTTTTTAATGGTGAATAGAACATGAAAATAATCCACAAACCAAAGCCCGACTTTATAATAATATTAACTTTGACCATACTGTCATTCAACAAGATAAACTGAGACAAAAACTAGAAGACGTGCACATTGGAATCCAAAAATACAGTGTCACAGTGAAACTTGGTCGCCTTGAAATCAACGCATGGGTCAAATTCAATTTTACATTTCTTACCTTCCAAAGAGATTATTAACCATTCTTACCAATCACTCTACATTTTTATTCAAACCTGTAAAGTTTTTCTACATTATTTGACAACTTCAGCGTTAAAATGGTTAAAAAATGGGTACTATGGATAATATGGCTAAATATGGCATTGTGACTCAAGTTATTGTCTATTCAGCTGACTTTCAGCCAATCACTGACGCTGTAACAAACCAAATTTGATGCACATCAAAAGGTTATCCAATCATGTGTGTCAATTCACATAGTAGTTAAGTTTTGGTACTTTAACAGGGTTTGAAGTTATTTCCTTGAGAGCAATAGCCTTGGTATATTTTAACAAGAACTAGCATAGGATTA